GTCAGTCAATCCTTACTAGATTCAGTTTTTCTAAAATCATAAGCCTGAAAAATTCAAAAAAAAACCCAAACTAAACAGAAAGACGGATTGAACATCCTTAGATGTATTACCTGAAAAAGTTGATGATCAGCAGGCTGTTGTGTTGTGGGGTCAGATGATGGCCCTCCTTGGGTAAAAGCACGCGAGACTAGAGGCATCATTTGCTGGACCATTCTCGAGAAATCAAAGCCGCCCCCTTCGCCCTGACCTCCACCTGACATCATATTCTCTATCTCTTGCCCATCCACCTGTTGAGCAATTTGTTGGACTGTGTTCATGATCTGTGGGTTCTGGGTAACCTGCTGCAGCATATTTCTCAGCATATTTGGTGAATCAACACCAGTTTGTCGAGATACCCCTGCTAGCAATCCATCCAATACAGGGCTCTCCAAGACCTGAGACATTGCACTTGAGACATCTACCCGATCATCTGAACCTTGCCCTCGTCTCAGACCAGTCTGATCTGAGTGAGAACTACCAGAAAAGAGAGATTGCAAAAGCTGCTGACCACTGGTCCCACTGTTCTGTTGCACACTTTCAAATGAAGCAGACGTCCCACCATCTTCATTCTTACCTAATGCCTTGGGCTGCTTGCTTCGTTTCTTTTACCAAAAAAAACATGTAACTGTAAGCATTTGGAACCACAGGACATCAATATTTCTTGTGGATATGCTATGCAATGAAAAACAAGCAACATCAACTTGCCACTTGTTTTCAACTCATTAATTACCTTACGGTCCAAACCCCCAAGCCCCAACCCAAGTGGCGTAGCTGTAGCTACCTCTGGAGTAGCCTTCTTGGATGATTTGGCATCGCTAGTAGCATCTTCTCTGTTGCTTGTGGACTCTCCTAGTGATGCTGAGGATTGTCCTGTAGTACAAGAGATATCTTTTGCACTGGCTGGATGCCCTAAATCTTCACCCAGTTCTTTATCGCTTTGACTCTGGGTGAAAAACCGTAGATTAGTTAAGAGGCAGAGAAGTAGTGAACAGGAAATAAAGAATCCTCAGGTTGCAGAAAAGACATACCATCGAGTTACTCCTCTCGGATGGTAAGTCAGGCGGTGAGCCACTCGACTCCTCAGGTATGCTAGTAGCTGCAGTATTGGTAGGCTGCTCACCCATTGCACTGGTAACACCATGGCCCGCAGAAGTTTCTGGCTCGCGAGATTCTGTACCTAATTGAAACGTGAAGAAGAGCTTGAAAAACATTTTATCCACAATGTAAAAATTTTGTCAGCAGGAAACCTACCAGATGGAATCTGGCTTCCTCCTTGCATATTGGTTACCAATTCTCTCATCCTTGCATTAAATTCGGAAACTGAAACAGAGCCATCCAAACCAGGTTGAACCCCAGCAGAAACATTCTCACCACTCTGAACCCCAGCAGGCAAATTCTCACCACTCTGAACCCCAGCAGGCAAATTCTCACCGGTAGAGCGTGATGGAACAGCAGCAGCAATAATGTTTCTCACTGGGAGTACCCGAACTGAATTTGTATTGCTGTCAAGATTTCCTTGCCCTCCTCCTCCATTGCTTTGCTGGTTTGCAACTGATGACATCATAGGTGATAGAGATGTACCTGGTAATTAAGAAAGAAATTTGATAAAGAAGAACTGTGCAGGTAGTTCCAATGGGTAAAAAAGCGAACTTCACCCACCAGCATGTATGTGAATGTTAATGTGCCTCGGGGCAGTTCCTAAGCCAACTGGTCCAATTAATGGATTTGGTGAGGCAGTCGCACCAGTAGCACCAGTAAAGAGAGAGCTGGTTTGATGAGGAAAAGGCTGCAAGAAGAAAAAAAAAATTACATAAAAGTAGACAATAGTATAGAAAATTAGATGAAACAAGAAACTTACCTGAACCATAATAGGATTCGGACCTGATGAAGATATATAAACAGCAGGCCCAGCATTCACATAGGATAATTCCTGTAGATCATGTAGCTTGTGAGCTGACTGTCAAGAAAAAGAGGAACACTCTCAAAAGGAAATGACCAAAAACGCACCGGAGACTGTGCCATTCTCAGTGTCAGAATTGTGCGCCCAAGCTCCAGTAGGAGAGCCCCTAAATGTTGCATGGCAAGACCTACTTGCACTGCCTCAGTCTGAATTTGTGCCCTGAGAGTAGGATCTGAAGAGGATCCATCCTGCTCCAGGCGTCCTGCAATATGCTACAACAATGTGTTGCAAAATTTCAGACAGCACATAATTAGATGACAAGGCATGCTAAGCATATACTAAGCAATTTCCCCATAATGAAAGCCAACAAAAAATAGTTTGCTGGGAACCAAATCAATTAATAAGCAGTTTGGAGGAAGTGTTTACTGATAAAGATGAGACAGCTAAACCACTCAGCAAATGTTGTGCATTCCTTAGGACAACGGAGAGTGCTTCAGGTGTTGATGGACCGTGTCTATTTCTAGGCAACTCTTCCCTTGGCTGGCCTCCTGATGTCGCAGAGGTATCTGGCTGATAGCCTAGAGGAACAGCCAATTAATTTGTTGACGTATTTTCTATCCAATATGACAATATAACTTGAATCAGTACCATTTTGCGATAATGCCTGCTCCATCCGATTAATGAACTCCAAAAGAGTGTCTAACGAATCCGGAATAGGCTGCAAATTTAGAGAGTTAGACTGTAAAATAACAAGATTAAAGCTATAGACTCAAGATCAAAATACTACGTGACAAAAAACTACCGTATGGAATGAAGGAATAGGAATAGGAATTGCTGTAGCTGCTGTAACTGGAATCTGAACTACATGAGGCATAGATGCTCGAAATGTTGCACCAGGAAATGCTTGCCTAGGTTGTGAATGACCGGCCGCTTGGCTTTGAACACCGATGCCAGGCGCTCCACCAGTTGTAATTCTAGGAGGAGCATGACCAGACAAATTTGACTAGGGGAAAGAAAATTGCATGCACCATTTCAGTTTGGAAACACACAAGAGTAGATGAAATATCAACTAAATCTAATGACACACAACACATCAAAAGGCAACAATTCTCAACATAGATAGACTTCCCAAAAATCTTTCCACATGAAAAATTAACATATGCAGATAGAACAAAATGGCAGACTAGGCATTTCAGAAATTAAGTTTGAAGTAGAGAGTGAAGACAAAACAACTCACGGGCATAGAGGACTGCGTGCCATTAGTACTGATATTTGTAGGCTGCTGCCCGCCAACTCCAAAAGAATTTAGAACTGCTCCAATGACCTAAGTAACACAAAATTTAAAGCAGAGTCAGCCAAGTCTTTCTGCAAATATATCTTACTCATTGCTCCAAAGCCCAATAAAAACATCCCAAGGGCAAATAACATACTCCCCAAAAGACACCTAATATCAAGCCTTGAGGATTACCCGGCTGAGATCTGGAACTCCGGCTTCAATCTGATCTCCAACATTAAAACTCCCAAGAACTACGCTGTGGGAGATCTGTCCCCGATTTCGAGATGGTCCACCATTTGTACCATTTCCTGTTGAAATAAATAGTAAGCTAAGATTAATTCACCAGATATCGGTTGTGTTGTTCCCTTCAAAACTCATACCAAAAGAGGGGTGAGTAACATATTACCATCATTAGCAGTTGCCCCTTCGGAAGGTGTGCCAGATGGAGGCAGTGATTCTGCTGGCTGCCTCACAACCAAGTGTAAAGTATGCCCATTTTCCAAATCTAAGAGAATGTCAAGTTATCAACTATACTGAAGTAAACAAGTGATGGAAGGAAATGACAGACAGAAACTAAAGCTAAGATTAGCAAAGGGGTATATATATATATCTATGTTCAAAGGATTACAGCACTCTCTACAATGTCAGATACACAGTAGAAATCCGTGCAGATTACATGGCACTTAATGAACACACTATTTTAAAACTGTCCTTAACTATACAAAACCATCCATATGCATGCAGGTGTGAAAGGTTTTAGGTAATACTTCCAATATTTAGCAATACACGGAGCACCATTCTCAGGTTATAACGCAGAGATG